TAATTATAAATTTTAGACTTCTATCATATAAGACGTTTTAAATTGGTGTGTCTAACTCAAAACCGATAATAATTAATGCACAATACGATTTTGTAACTACCAAGACAAATTCTTACGGTGACTCTAAAAAAATAAAATTCAATACTCAACTCAACAATAACTTATTACTGATATTTTTGGAAAACTAAACTCAATATCTTTACAAATTTATGAGATGATCTCCTTCCCAATTCAAGTAGACCTTGTGGTTATCATGGCTATTTAACTGTATAAGGTGTTGTTAATCATGCTAGTAACTTCTGTGAAGTGCGTGGTATATTCCAACACATCAAAGCCATGGATTCCTTCACTCACATTAAAAGATCAGACAACAACGTCACATAGTGGAAGGCAACCCAAAATTAGAGGAAGAGAGATAACGATGTTCAAACTCTTCCTGACTTTTAAGATTCAACAGCAGAGTGTGCCCATTATTTCAATGCATTAGGAATTTGAATTGAATGTATATCTGCCTTGAGGACTTCCTTGAAGACCCTTTTTCTTCTTCTTGATTTGTCGTTTTTTTTGCCTTTTTTTTTTCCCTGGTGTTTGAGTAATCAATGCTCAAGTCAGGATATTGCGCTTAAAACATTATTTTAGAATTGATGCGTGTCATCTGTGCTTTGGCTCTCCTATTCTTAACTTTTTCTTCAATTATACAAATCTTACTTAGAAAATTGAGACTGATCACTTAGACTCATTTGATACAAACACTGATACGATTTTAATTATACAAAGTAAGAATTTAATCTAATACAAATTTAATTATTATATAATAAAAATCAGCCTAGTACAAGAGATTTTGTCACTATGAACTCTGTAAAGGATCAAAGATATATAATTTTATTTCTTATATATAGAGAGAGTTAATTTCTGCAACTCAAACATTTAACGTTCACTCTCACAAATTTGGCTGTGTAGAAGACGTACGAGGTAAGTGTATCTTTTGATACGGAAAAATTTAATTTAGACCTAACAAAGCTCATGATTGACCACATACGTAGGTTTATATAAAATATAACGAGGAAGATTTGTGTCAGTGATTTTTAGGGGGGCAAAGCTTTTTACCCTTTTGCAAATAAAGAAAATAAGGTAGATTAGGTACACAATTATAAAGACTAGGAAAGTAGGAAGAAATCTGTGAACGAGGAAAAATCATGTTGTCGTGATTGATGGGGATGGTGTTGCTATCACCTGTTGGATCTGCCTGCTTACGTTGGGCCAAGACAAGGACTCATATCATAATCTGGGATATATATGTCAACAAAGGTGTAATTAATATCCAAAGTAATTGACGTCCTCATAAAATAACTTCTACGGCCTTTAGAATTCATCGTTAACACATCCAAGTGTCTCACCTAGGTTATTACTCAGGATATGTACATGATAATTTTCAAGTAATTGGAGGGTTTCAAAAAAGTCCTAATAATTGTTGTGATTGGAGGATTTTTTTTTTTCCACAAATAATGGGAGGATATTTTTTTAAAAAAATTTATTTTGATGGTGGAATTTATACACGTTAGAATTACAAACTATTTTTTATTTTTATCATTAAAGATGGTTTTTAAGTAAAATTTGTTGAAGTAAATAATTTTTTTTCCATTCTAAAAAATTATAGAAATTTTATATTATTAAAATATTAGAGATGAGTCAAACCCACTTTTGATCGTTTTATACATTTCATAGCCTTTGAGGGAAGGCTGCACGCATATTATACTATGACATAACGGTAGAACATTTGAAACGATTCAGAGAGGGAGAGAAAGAGAGACCACCCCCTCCCTCTCTTCTAGTTCTCTCCCATGCTCGTGTGGTAACTTCTGCAGTTAAGTAGAGATGGAGATACACATGTTTATGCAAAAAATTAGAAAAAGACCAGTAGATACAAACATAAGGATGTTCAATTTTTTTATTACCCGCATATTCCGACTCAATCTGATCTTATTGATTGGTTATCACAAAAATATTGGGTACGTGATGTATTGATGTTTATGACTTTCTTTTTGTGTTTTATTATAATTATTTATGTCTTATCAAATTCAATAATGTTATAGTGACCAAATTTTTAGATCAAATCAAAAATCTAAATGACATGACAGTTGACTTGGACTTTTTTATTTGATGTCATGTCATATGGGTCCCAATAAAGACTTCAAATAAAATGTTGTCATGTCATTTGGACTCTTAATTTGATCTAAAAAGTTGGTCAGCATAGTATTACTGGATCGAATTTATTGTGTTTTTTTTAGTGTTATAGGTTTATTATAGTGATTAATTGGTGTGGGTTATTTAATTGAATTGTTAAAATGATCCAAAAATTAATACATTAAAAATATGTGTTCACCCAATTTTCTATGCGACTTCTTACCTGATTATTTTGGACCAGTAAGAATAGTATATTTCATCGAGTAGGGTCGCTCAAAAAAAATTATTCTTCTATCAAGTAGAAAGTTAAAATATCATAATTCTTACTAGGGTGAATACCTCTATATAAACATTAGTTCGGAATCACATGCTTACTAGGAAAAGTAAACTGTTATGGTTGTAGAGGTCAGCGAGACTGGTAATGTCTACATCAATCTAACAGTTGGATATGATCACAATAATTCAGAGTAATGCTATTCAAATTAAAAAATTTAACCATTGTTGATTTGATGATGTAATTTTTTTAAAATTATTGGATAAAGTAAATTTTTGTGTAAATTTTAATGTTTAATAGGGTCCACAATCAATTTAATAGCTGTAATGGAATCAATTTTTTAGGTACAAATTGCACTTATTATCTACGAGATCATGTTACTCCACATCATTAGGTTAACAAATTAAGTCAGATTTTTAAGTCGTAACATTACTCCAATTAGGGTAGGGGCGGGGCGGGGTAGTGTAAACTCAAGTCCTTATCCAAATGAGTTATCGGACGAGTTGGGCCTGACTTCGGGTAAGAGTAGGCTACTCGCAGCTTAACCCATGAACCTATTAGAAGGGCCTGTGGACGGGTTTGTTGGGCGGCCTTACTCGCGAGCTTTTTCATATACATTTTTATTTAAAAATAATGAATAATTTGTAACTTAATATTTATGTAAATAATATTTTTAAATCAAAAATAGTGTCAAAATAGATAAAAATAAAATAATAAATAATTTTATTTTTGATTAAGGGATGAACTACATTCAATAAAATGAAAAAATTCAATTAGGTTGACACATAACCTATTAATTTATCTATCATTTGCATTTATTTATCCTTTAAAACTTGTATATTTAATACATGGAAAAGAAAATAATATATTATTTATAATATCTAAATTTTTAAATCTTTAAATTCTGATATTGAGAGACTTATTTCAAAATTTCAAATTTAATGGTCTAAAAGTATAATTAAAAGAAGGGTGGGCAGGCGGACTTTTGGGCCAGATAATGGGTTTGGGGACAAACTCAAACCCTCTTTTTACGGATATTAGGTTCGGGCTCAGATAGGCCAACTATCGGGCCTATATTGAGTTTTGGACCTACTTTTTTCGGATCAAATAGCGGGATTCCTGGGTAACCCGGTCCATGGACACCTCTAACTCCAATCTTAAATGAACAATGTTATTTGAACCTAATTTACAAACCTAACCATTCTCTGACATTGGATATAAAATGGGTCCTACTATTAACACTAATGCTATTGGGACATAATGAGTTGTCATCAATGAAATGATAGTAAAATGTATTTAATGATGAGTTCCATTTTAGCATTAATGAATTAATTATCATATTATTTGTGACAATTCATTATGTCTTCAAATTATGTCCATAAATTATGTCTCAATAGCATTACTCTACTATTAATTAAAACTCGTTACCAATTCAATAACTAAAATGTATTATACAAATAAAATCAATAAGTTAGATTTAAATAGTTTTTTTTTTTTTATCTTAAATCGTGGGTAATACCTTCTAAGTGATTAAATTTGTAGTGTTCCAAGACGATGGCAAAATAGATAATTTTGGATAGTAAATATTATATCTTGTTATAGGAGAGAATTTAGGTGGAAATTTGATCATTGTCAGTTCACCCATAAATTCTCTCTGTTCTAAAGCCAAAAAAAAAAGGTACCACCACGAGGTGTAATCTTCGTCATGAGTTACATCCAAAGAGAAAGTTGATTAATTAGTTCCTAATCCATTTTCAATGTTCCACTTACTTATACCAAGTAATTAATATGAACTACGTGTATGCTGCTTAAAGAGTAGTGCGTGCTTGAATAAAGAAAGAGGTTACAATACAAAAATGGGATAAAAAGCAAGTTGGTGGTTTTACACTGTTTGGGAAATTGGAGCAAAAGTTGCCAATGAAAATGGATTGAGAACCTGAGATATTGATATCAGATAGATATGGTTATATATGTTGTTTTGTGTTTTTTCAACATCTACCACTTAAAGACGGCATTCAGTTCTCCCTCTCTCTCTCTCCTCACCATATCCGTATCTCATAAAGCAAAGCAAAGCAAAACAAAACAAAGAGTTCCCATTTTCAAGTTTTGGGATTGGAGGAATCTTTTTCATTCCCTTCCCTCTTCACTTTAATAGTGATAAAGTTAAGAAGAGAGCCATAGAGGCCACCGAAAAGCATACACACCTTATCATGAAAGCAAGAAAAAAACACCACCCAGATTAGACTGCCCAACCCACACGCATATATACTCACCCACACGCTCATACTTTCTTTCATCTCTCTCTCTCTCACACACACACAAAGAAAAAGAGAGAGGTAATTATGGAGTTACTATCTCTCTCACTCTAGATTACTTTTGATCTTGCTTTTTAAAATGGAAATCTCAAGTCAACCTCACCTCATCATTTGGTCTTGGTTCTTCTAGGCACCAACTCATTTCCCACTTTCTTTTCTTTATTGTTTTCTCGTCTTCTTCTATATAATTACCATTCTCTGTCATCAAATTGTTATCCATGGGAGGCATGAAGGTTCATCAGTTCGCACGTGGATTCTGGGAGCAAGAACCCACCCTCACGCTTGGTGGCTGCAAGCGTTTTCGACCCCTTGCTCCAAAGCTTCCTAACAGCGACAACGTTGTCAGCGCCACACCGTTTGATCTTAAGAGCTTCATTCGACCTGAAAGTGGCCCCAGAAAACTTGGATTCTCTGACGACAAGAGAGAATCAACTCAGGTGATTTTCAGATATCTACCTTCAACAGGACATTATTTCATGTAGTTTTCTCCCAAAATACAAAATAACATGCAGATTGCAGAGCTATATATAATAAAGTTGCAACAAAAAGGGCTTAAATACTTGGAAAGATAGTAAGAAGTTGGCGCAAGACTTGTAAGAAGTGTTATTAATCATGTATGGTTAGTTGGTTTCGTGTTGAAAGTTCAACATGTTGCGTACAAGTTATGTATGGTGGATTCGTTTAGACTCATTTGTTTCACAAGTGTAATGGATCTACAAGTTCGTCAAAAAACTCGCTACGGTTAAAATTGAACGGTTAACTTCATATATGTCAGATTGACAGGTCATGTCCAAAATTGTCAAAACTTCTCGAAACACTTTCACACTTCAAAACCTTTCATGTAGGTGGAGACGCAGCCTGGGGGGACTAGGTGGAATCCCACGCAAGAACAAATAGGTATACTCGAGATGCTGTATAGAGGGGGAATGCGCACTCCCAATGCCCAACAAATAGAGCAAATCACTGCACAGCTCGGAAAGTATGGCAAAATAGAAGGGAAGAATGTGTTTTACTGGTTCCAAAACCACAAAGCACGTGAGAGGCAAAAGCAGAAGCGTAACAGCCTTGGTCTCAGCCATTGTCCAAGGACACCAGCTTCCACTATTAGCAGTAGCATAACAATGGAGACAAGGGTATGTCTCTCTGTCCCCAACTTGCATCCTAAAATATTGTCTTTGAACTAAGTCCGACTTTAAAACGCGTTATATTCACGCACTTGTATAGCAATTCACAAACGCTTCGCCTTACGATCTAAATTTGGATCACCGAAGTCTTAGTTCCAAGATTTGCCTTCTCGTTTATTTTCGTGGGTCTCTTGAAGACAAGGTGTTGACATGTTAATTTACAAATTTTTTTTAGGGATCAGAAGAAGAGAGAGAAGATAGTCCATGCAAGAGAAAGTGCAGGACTTGGACATTCGAGTGCTTGGAAGAGGACAAGAGATACAACAAAGAGGAGGGAGATAGGACTCTAGAGCTGTTCCCATTGCACCCAGAAGGCAGATGATCAAGGGGTGTCAAAAATTAATTTTTCCACTCCCTATTGTTAATTTCTGATCTGCTTTGATGTGCTTTTCTTGCTTTTTTCTTTCTTTGTTCCGGGAAAGAAGAAAGAAAAGCTGTATCTTTGTACCTTCTGATCCTTGTTATTCCTGATTTCAAACCAAAGTTCTTTGCTGCCCTTGGAAAATGCTACTACTGTTTGTTAGTTCTGTGGTTGTGTGTGATCCCTTTGACTAACAACAACTTGTTGAAACCAAGCTTTTAGGTTAAAAGTGGTGATTGGTGAAGCTGAGGACAGTATAGGACACTGAAGTCCAAGCACCTACTTCTTCTAGTAGCTCCCTCCCAAATATTTTAAAGTTTTTAAATTGTAAAAGGATTAGTTTTCTATCTTTCAAGCAGCAGTATAATTATAAATGTAAACACAGGGTAACAAGATTTTTCAAAAAGTAAAATTTCAAGAATCTGGACACATGCAGATATTATATCATAGTGCACTGATGTATCAATATCATGTAGGGAAAAAAAGTAGTAGTGGTTTGTGGGTCACAGTCTGACTAGCATTTTGGCGGGAAGGAGAGGTAACATAAAATTTGAAAGACTGGCGATGAAAATTACAATTATTTACTTCTAAACTTTATTAAAATTCACTGGTCAAAAATATCGATGATTGCAAAGAAGAGAGCCGAGGAAAAGCAGGTATTCCTCTCTCCAACAAATAGAATCATTAGAGCATCTCTAATAAACTTTTTATTTTCACTCAATTCTCTATTATAAAAAGTGTTATTGGATTGGTGTGTAAAAATTTATTCTCTATTATAATTTTTTACTAAAAATGTTCTATATTTTTAGAGAGCATGGTTGAAGATTCCCTTATATTGTAAAGAGAATAAATTCTTTACAGATTACCTGTAAATTAGTTATTTACAGGCATCCAATCAAAATTTGACAACTAACACAAATTTGACAATTCTTTACTATAGTTTGTAAACACAAGTTTGTGTGGTTGTCAAATTTTGATCGACTACTTATAAAAAATTGGTTTACAGGTTGACGATGAAAAAAATTATTCTCTATTGTAAAATATAAAGAGCTAAACTATCGACTACAAAATTAATAAATCGTCTAACCTATGAGGTAGAGAATTTGTTTAAATTACAACTTAATTGATCAATTCAATTTGTTGATGTTATCATTTATTATTATTAAATTGACAATCGATCTCAACTAAAATTAGGATTTATGCCCAATCCAATGGCAACAATGGATTAAATTAGTTAATATAAAAAAGATTTATTTAAAGTTAATAGAATTAGGAAGGAGATCAAAACGCGAAGAAAACACAATCACACTTTTAAGGGTTGGAATTATAGCATCAATATTTAGAAGGAAAATATTTTTTTTACTTAATTTAGTAACTTATTTTTGGTGACACGATGAATCATAATTATGGAATTGATAGTAGTCCCACCTAATAGTAGGGTCTATTGTCAATCTAAGTATATGTATATTTTATGATCAAAAATGCAGTACCGATTAACATCAACCTCAAATCACCCCAAAAAATATAGAATTCAAAATGTATGAAAACCGATTAGATGTGACTTGAAAATTCATGAACATTGGTAATTTGGAATGAACAAGCAAAAGTGAGGTCGGCAAATGCACAATCAAATGAATGTATTTCGAATTAATTTTTCAGAGTTTTGACTTGAAAAGTGAATCAACATTAGTAGCTAATAAATGAATCCCACATAAGGAAAACCATTTTGATTTTAAAACCCAAAGTGAATACGTAATGCGTTATGTCAAATAAAGTTGACCATCAACTCAAAGATCACAATTAATTAGGTTTATCAAATTAAGTATAAATAATATTATTTTTGTTGAAATAAGTATTGCAACAAAATAACTAAAAAAAAGTAAATTGTAAGAGGTACACAAAATTAGACTTATTTGGCAAAAAGTATACACTAAAAAATATAGGGTTATTAAGTATTAAGTTATTTGTATCCAAATACACAATTTGAATTTATCTATTTTTATTGTGACATTTTTGCCCTCTATTAATCCATGTGTACTTAATGCACCATTTTTTCTTTTGGAAAGTGGTGTATTAAACATTTCCTAATTTTATGGAAGAACTTTAATACATATATATATATATATATATACATGGATACAAATTTTAAAATTCAAATAAATATATATATACGTTTTTTATATATGCATAAATAAATATTTTTATATATATCTATATATAAATAAATACATACATACATATATATATATATACACACACACACACACACACATGAATACTTATGTATGTATGTATATACTTGTTGTTAAATCTCTTATCTAAATTTTGAATTATCTTTTAATGCACCTTGATTCATGCATTTTTTTTTAGAAAATGATTTTATTTTCAAATTAATTTAATATCTGAATAGTGTAACAATAACAGTGTAACAGTGCAACAATAAAAGTGTAACACTAACAATGTAACAATGTAACAATATAACAATAATAGTGTAACAAGTTATTTACACAAAATATTGTACTATTACATTTTGTCAAATATATAGTTTCATATAATTTCATTCAAAATAGTTCATCTCCGTTTTGAATTTGTTACCATATATACAAAATTACTGAACACTGTTTTTGTTACGGTATATTTGTTACACTATCTTTATTACAATGTATTTGTTACACTGTTATTATTACATTGTTATTGTTATATTATTACATTATTCAGATATTAAATTAATTTGAAACACTTTTAAAAAAAAATACATATGAATTAAGGTGCATTAAAGATAATTCAAAATTTAAATAAGAGATTTAACAATACACACACACACACATATATATATACACATGTATATACGAATATATATATACATGTATTAACAAATATACATGAATTAATATGGATTAAATACATATTTATATGTATTAACAAATAGACATGAATCAAAGTGCATTAAAGATAAAAGATTTTAAATTAAATGACCTTAAAATGAGCATTTATGTCTTTTTACTCATATTTTGTTTTATATACTTTTTGTTAAATAAGTTTAATAAGTTGTACCGACTTCCAAAGAACCAACTAAAAATTATTGGAATGGCACCAAGCCCAAACGGACATTCAAGAAGTACGAAATGATGTTGGTTGGACTGGACCAGATGAGATAGGACTACCCACATGAGCCTGCATTGGGCAACGAGGGGCAAAAAGCCCACACAGACTTTGCAAGAAGTGTGAAAACTGTGAATGATATTGATGTATCATGACTGAGTAAATAACTAAATATTATGGATATAATGCCCTGATTAGATATTAATTACTTTTTTTTTAAATAATATTGGTTGAATGAAAATTGCTCTTATTACTCGTTGATATCTTCCTTTCACAATATACCCCCAAAAAATTATTTAATTAATATTTATTTAATAAACATTTAATTTTGTCACATGAAAAATTACATATAATCTTAAAGGGTAATTCAAGTGAAGTAACGTCTTGACTAGGTCAAGTTATGAGGATAAATTCCTCGTGAATATTTTAATTTTGACATGTATGATTTGTTTTTAATCGAACTAATTGAAGTGTTTATAAATTAATCCGAACAGTCCAATTCGTTGAATTAAAAAAAAAAAAATCACCTGCAAAACTATCAAGACTTTAATCCAACGGCCCAGATTTCGCCCACATATCAAATTAGGGTTTCCGTGTGGCGCCTAACTCTCAGTATATAAACTTCACAGTTTCCTCTCAGCCGGTGCGGTGCAGTGTGTCTGCCCTCCCACCCTAAAAAATCTCTCTCTATCTCATCGTCGATTCTCATTTCCGTTCGGATCCCCGACGATTTATCCCCATTTTACCCTTCCCTCTCCTCTCTTATCTCCAAAATACCTAAAAAATTTCGCGGAAAGTTACTATATTACAGTCTTTTTCTGAGTCCTTCGAGGTCGATTACAATTTTGTTGTGTTTCTCTCTTAGAATTTCAATTATCATTTCTGTTATAGAGGAGAGGGAACAAAAAAATTGAAAAAAAGGGAAAAAAGGTTTTTGGAAAAAGTTGAAGAAAAAGAGGCGTTGGAGGGGTATTTGTGGAAGAAATGGCGCAGATTCAGGTGCAGAGTCCGGTGACTGGACCGAATGGAGTGGCTCCTGGAGGGAACCAGTTCGTGTCGACGTCACTGTACGTTGGGGATTTGGACTTCAATGTGACCGATTCGCAGCTCTATGATCTGTTTAACCAGGTCAGTCAGGTTGTTTCGGTTAGGGTTTGCAGGGACCTTAGCACTCGGCGTTCTCTCGGATACGGTTATGTCAACTATAGCAACCCTCAAGATGGTTAGTATGCTTTATGCATTTATTATAAGTTGATTCATTTAAAGTTTTGGTTAATAGTACAATGTGCAAAATATTACTACATTTTTGGTTGGAAAAACTCAAATTAAATGTAGCTTACATTTTCAGCAATTTTGTTTTTTGTAATGTAGGCAAATGATGAGATATTCGGTTCAGCGTTGTAGTGATAACTTAGTCGTTGAAGTTGGTGTATTATGTGTTGAAGAATTCGGAGAATGTTTATCATTTAGCGGTATTATTGAAGTTTACTGATTGCATAGACAAATGATGAAATGTGCGATGTTGTATGGAACTATAGATAGCTTAGTTGTTGAAACTGGTGTATTATGTGGCAAAGAATATGGAGAATGTGACGTTTTGGTTATCAATATTGCTGAAGTGTACAAATTTGTTATCTTAGAAAGGACACTTTAAACAACTGAGAAATTTGTAGCTGGACCCAAAGCTAAAAAACATCTTTGGAGTTTATTGTTATTTTATTGGTTGTTATGTACGACTTAGTTGGATATATCCGTCCACCTCTTGAATCAGAATTAATGGTTTTGTTTATGGCCATATTATATTTCTTGACCTTGTTTTTGAGTTGGCTGTTTTTTCTCCTTGAAATTTTTTTTTGGTT